GGTGCTGGCCCGGCCTGGGAGCGCGGTGGGGCTTTGGGCTCCAGCGGCTGGCCCCGCGCGGGGCGTAGCTACAGTCCGTGTTAGCGGCGCGCGCGCTCTGTGGCTGTGCGCCCTGGGTGCAGGCTGACCCCAGACGATCCCACGAGCCCGAGAGACGTTCACCTGGGCTGGCTCCGCAGGAGGGATCTAGCTGCCCTGCCCTTGCTCCGACACGCTAAGCGCTAACATTGCCCCGTGTCTGCAGGGAACTGTGGCAGGCGCTTGCGTAAGGAGCAGGGCGCAGGCAGTGGAGGCGGCTGCACCCAGCCCACTGTTCTGGCACCAGCAGGCAGGGGACACCCTGTCTTCAAGCCTCAGGCCACAGCAAGGAGGGAGGTTCTGCTCCTGCATGGGAGCCACAGCCAAGGCTCGGGCACCGCGGGAGGCTCGTAGGACGGGGGCTCCTGCTCGCAAAGAGGAGAGGAAAACAGGCTCTTCCACACGGGCACTGGGGGCAGCAGGGCTGCGCACCGTGGGGGCTGGCGCTGGCCTGGCACGGTGCTCGCCTTGCGGAGATGCCACAGCCCAGTTCTGCATTGCCGAGGGCACGCCGGCCGGCCGCAGCCTTTCCATTCTCGGGGCTGCGACCGCGGGCGGCAGGGAGCGCACGAGACTGTCTGAGCAAGAAGCCCAGGTTAGATGAGCCAGGCCTCCATGCTGCCCGCAGTGCTGGGCAGAGGCTCAGCGGGGAGGGGTAATAAAGCCCTGAACAGCTACCGTACGGCCATGGCGAGAGAGGGGCGCTAGGGTAACAGACACAGTAGGCAGGGACCTTGCTGACTGCAGTGCTGGAGACTGGCGCGGGCGCCCGAGTGGGAGCGCTGGGGCAGGGCCAGCCGGCTGGGGAGTGGAGATGTGATGCGGGAGGAGAGCAGGCCTGGAACTAGCTTGCCAAGGTCACCTCTGTGGGGACGCTCGTGAGCGGGGCAGCAGTGCTATCCCAGCATGCTCTGGGGTTGCACCCTGGCATTTCTGGCCTTCCTTCTGGTCCCCCCCGGGGCCCCTGCCCCGGGTCTCTGTACCCTCTGCCCCCGGCCCCCAGGCATGCCAATAGCTGGGGGAGCTGTGCCCAGCGAGGGATTCTGAGAACCAGACCTGACCTCGCCTAGAGGTGATGCTTCTGTGCAGGGTTCCCAGGAGTGATTCCAGAGCTGCCCAGCTGATTTGCAGAACTCCCACAGCTCAGGTGCACGTGCCTCGGTGCCATAAAAAATTGACTCCGCACATGGATGAAAAATTCCACATGTGGATGGAAAAGATTAGAAGGTCCATGGGGGACCCCAAACATGGAAGGACCATTCTCCAGGCGGGGCTCGTAGTTCTGCCTGGGCAACCGTGCAGCGAGAGACACAGAATGCACGGTCTGAGCAAGGGCCCCCAGCTCGGAAGAAAACAAGCAGCTCCGAGGCTGCAGCGCTGAGGATGTGGAAAGCGACCAGACTCCCAGTCCCACAGAAAAAGCCGGGGTGCGCCGGGCTGGCTGAGTCAGCGCTTGGCTCCTCAGCCTGCTGCATGGGTGGGTGCTGGCGACTCCCTTCTCAGAGTCACTCCGGCATGGCAGAGTTCAGGGCCACTGCACCCGGATCTCCCATCCATGCAGTCCCCACATCCAGCCCCTGTGCTGCTGGAAGAGGGAGACTTCCTGTCTCTGGAGGCCACAGTCTCCCCTGGAGTGACGTGCGCCTGTACACACTCTGCTGGGAGGCCGTGGCTAGCAGCCCCACCTCAGTGCTGACCCTTTCAGAAACAAAGGACACAGAGGAAGCTGAGGGTTTTGGTATCTGGGTCTGGAGCCACTGGACCTTACTGGCCCAGGGAGATGCAGAGGGCAGCTGGGGATCAAGCACAGTAGCTGGACTCTGGCTCAAATGATCAGCAAGGATGTGGAGGTTTAAAGGGACATCAGTAGGGTTCCGAGTTAACACCCGACTGAAAAGAACAGGACAGTTCACACAGCAGAGCTCTGGTTTCAGGCTCCCGCTCACACTCAGTCTGTGTCGACGCTTTTCTGCACAACCCTCTGGACCGGCAGGATCGTCTCCAGAGCTGAGGCTCGGGAGCAGAGTCCCACAGCACCGCGGAGAGCCTGTAGTGGAGGAATCCAGAGGGCTTGGCAGACGTGACAAGGGACCATTTCTGCTTTCCCATGTGGCCACCCAAGCCTAGCTGGGTCCCCCAGTCCACTCCATCCCGGGGGGAGCCCAGGCCCAGCCAACAGACAGAAGGACAGAAGACTGTGCGCTTTTGCCAGTGAGTTTATTGACGGGACCGGAATCAGTCACATCAGCTGTTTCCCTTTGCCAGCTCCAGGCCTGGGAGTTGCCCTAGTTACCGTAACTTAGTGTTTCTCAACCAGTGGTACGAGTACCCTTAGGGGTATTCCAGAGACGTCTGGGGGCTACTTCAACAACTGAAATGTGGAGAAAACTAAAGTTTTGTATTAATTTTTACAATGCTTTATTATTTTTGTACTTTTTACACCCAAAATTTCCTCGCCCACCCAGCTATGATTAAGTTGTTTAAAACAAATGTGTTGCAATGGTAGAAAAAAATTGCGTGTCTCTGAAAACTGTAGGTACTGGGGGTTCGTCTACAAATTTTTTTGAAAAAGGGGTACTTTATAAAAAAAGGTTGAGAAACACAGCTGTAACTCCCCAGACTAGGGAGTGCAGGGAAAGGGCTGGCGCAGGACCATCCGGAGATCTGGAAGTGCCATAGGGAGAACCCCTCCTTTCAGTTCCCAGAAGCAAAATGCAGGACAATGTAGCACTTTAAAGACTAACAAGATGGTTTATTAGATGATGAGCTTTCGTGGGCCAGACCCACTTCCTCGGTTCCCAGTGGGAGCGAGGGCTCCCCCTACCCACAGCAGCTGGTCTGACTTCTCTCCCATCCCTTCCCCGGGCCAGGCTGCTCCATGTGCAAAGCCTCTCCCCCTTCCACAAAGGGCTCTCCTGCTCCCAGCCTCTGTGATGCAATGGGGAGGCGCTGGCCACACCTGTCGGCAGAGCCGCACCAGCTTTGATCCAGCGAGATCAAAGCCTGCTTGAGTAATAGTGGCAGCCTGGCTGGCGGAACCGACTCGCAGCTGCAGTAGGTACCCAGGCTATTTGGGAGGCTGGCCTATGGGCTGCCGTGGCTCCCCTGGCGGTGTTACTCGAGCTAGCTTTGATCTCCCTAGATCAAGGCCCACTGAGACTGTGGCTCATAGTTCTCTGGGGTCTGCGCCCGCCTCTCCAGGCTTGCAGGCACACCTCGGATTGCGGCCGAGCCAGACCCTTGGGGAGCTGCGCTGACATCTGTGCCAGCTAGAGGGGGCTGGCCATGCCCAGCAGCCCCAAGAAGCTCTCGCTGCCCTCAGCTCCCATTCAGGGGACGTCAGGGCACTCAGCACAAACGAGCAAGCACATGGGCCAAGCAGGATCAGGCGCGAAAGCAACAGAGCTTGGTCCCGTCCACCACACACATCAACCACACGTAGCCTGACAGACTGACCCTCCCCCGCTCACTTCCCTCGGCCCCAGGAGTGGCTGGAGATCAGGCCAGGATGGGGTACGTGGCAGCCGTGGCCACCCCGCAGTTGTTGTCCCGCATGGACATGAGGATGTAGCCGTCGTTCCCCCAATAGGTCGACCAGGAGTTTTTGATGAGCCAGTAGCTCTCTCCTTGCAGGACCCCGTAGCCCACGGCCAGCACCGCGTGGTTCAAGCTGAGGGTGGTGTTCCCTACGGCCGAGAGGATTATTCTAAGAGGGGTGGTTAAGATTCTGTGGCCTGCACTGTGCAGGGGGTCAGACTAGATGATCATAATGGTCCCTTCTGACCTTAAAGTCTATGAGTCTATGAGAGGGATGGAGATTAGCAAAGGGGATTCTCGAGCAGCTATTAACCCCACTGTCGTTACTCAACTCCAGCCTCTGGGCTCTTGCATTCCCTGGAGGCCAAAGGACAAGTCTCATGCTGATGAACGGCATCAGCTGAGTGAGGACTGCCCAGGGGGGCGAGGCCACGGATACAAAGGAGGCCACAACATCCATCTCCTCTGACCTCCTGCCTGACCCAGCTGGAGCGCCCCACTGCACTGTTTCTGCATCAGATGCCGCAGGTTAGGAACCTCCCAAGATGTGGCTTCCGCTAGGCCCCCCCTGCATGAATCAAATTGGCGAAGGGGACAGCCAGGTACTGTTTTACGAGGGGCCATGCCAAGGGAGGGCGAGATCAGCCGCCTGGCTAGCCTGCTTCTGCCAGAGAAGGTATTCGGTGCAACAAGATGGACTCTAATCGCCACCTGGTGGCGGAGCCCATGAAAAGCTCTGGCCAAGCTCTTCATGCAGGGGGCTGGTGTGTTGCATTGGAAGCCCCCCAGCATGGCTCCACTCATCAGGGGTTCTTCAGGCATGAGAAAGCAGGATCTGCCTAAGCGCTGTCGTCGGAGGCGCGTGGTTAGGGGCAACGCTTGCGGAAGGGGGGCAGGACTGCTGGGGATGCCAGGCATGGAAGTAGTGGCTCACTGTGACTGAAAGCATCACTGTGTGCGTGACACACTGTCGTGATCATTGCTGGGCAAACTATGCCTTGTGAGGGGCCGTTTGAAAAACCGGCTGCTCAGCGACATCGCCGGGAAAGGGAAGGTTCTGTCGTGGTTAGGGGCAACGCTTGCGGAAGGGGGGCAGGACTGCTGGGGATGCCAGGCATGGAAGTAGTGGCTCACTGTGACTGAAAGCATCACTGTGTGCGTGACACACTGTCGTGATCATTGCTGGGCAAACTATGCCTTGTGAGGGGCCGTTTGAAAAACCGGCTGCTCAGCGACATCGCCGGGAAAGGGAAGGTTCTGTGTGAATTCCCCCCACACGATGCCAGTGCCAAGCAAGAGTAGTAAAGCAGGTCTCACCTGAACAAAGGAATGTGGGTTCACCCCAATGTACAGGGAAGTAGACAGGGTCCTAAAACCAGCAGCGTGTCTGCATTTCAGCACATGCTGGGGAGAGCCACCTTCACCCACAGAACCCGCATCACCTTTACTGTGTGAATAAACTTTGCATTGAGGGGGAAACTCAGAGGAATCCACTTTGGAATGTGAAGCTATGTCTACACTACAGGGTTTTGCGCAAAACCCCTTCAGCGCGTCCACACCTCAAGCACCTTTTTGCGCAAAAAAAAAAAAAATCCAGTAAATCGACCGGACAGAGGGCTTTTGCCGGTAGAGTTATGCCTCTCCCTTTTTGCATAACTCCTTTTTGCACAAGAGTTCTTGTGCAAAAAGGTGTGTGTGGACGCTCAGCAGGGGGTTTCGTGCACAAAAAGAGCCTATCACAAAAAGCACAGGTGCTCTGGTGGCCATTCTGTGAATAGCAATCAGAACTTCCTTATTCTACATGCAGTGGACGCTCACTTGCGCACGCTTTTGAGGTGTGGACGGGCTTTTGCACAAGCTTTTGTGGAAGATCTCTTCCACTAAACGCTACTTGCACAAAAACCCTGCAGTGTAAACAAAGCCAGAGTGGATTGCAAAAGTGAGAGGCAAAACCACCCAAGTGATCTCTCCCTCTCTCAAGCTACATCGATACTACAGGGTTTTTGTGAAAAAACCCGTGGAACATCCACTCTTCAAGCATGTTTTTGGGCAAGAAAATGTACAGTGAATCAACAGAACAGAGGAGTTTTGGTGGTGGAGGTATTCCTCTTTCTACAAGGAATAACTCCATTTTGCACAAGAGTTCTTGCACAAAACGGTGTGTGGGGACGGGAAACAGGTTTTTTTTGTGCAAAAACAGCCTATCGAAAGAAGCGCAGGTGCCCTGGTAGCCATTCTGTGAATGTCAATCAGAGCTTTCTTGCGAGAGATTTGGACGCTCTTTTGTGCAAAAGCGCATCGCTTTTCCGATGTGCTTTTGCAGTGTGGACATGCTCTTGCGCAAGACGTTTTTGTGGAAGATCTCGAGATCTTCCACAAAAGATCTAGATGCAGCCTCACACACACACGTGAGAGGACAAAGAAAGCAGGCCTTTGACTTTGAGGGAGATCCCTAAGAATTTGGTCAGCAATGTCGCTGGGAACCTATGGTGAGGGTTTGACCTTGAACCAAACCTTGCTTGTGAAGTTTTAGCTGCCAGGAAGTGTTTTAGCTTTAGCTTTCTCGTAACCATTTCTGACTTCCATACCTTAGCCCTGTGCACATTGAAAACCTCTCTCTCCGTCGCTGAATAAACATGTTTTATTTTTAAAATAAACTACTCCAGGGCTGTGATGAAACCAAACTGCTTGACATTAGGGGGAAATGGACCTTTAATATCTGAACTGTCCAGGAAAAGGGCTGGGCAGTGAAGAACATGTGATGAGAGAAATCTAGGACTGGGAGGGTGTTGGGGTCACCCCAGGAGTATCTAGGACTGGGAGGGTGTTGGGGTCACTCCAGGAGCAGTAACCCAGGCTGGTGGAAGCCAGAGCAGGGCTGGAGTGTTGCTGACAGGCTGCTGGGGGCAGTGTAGCTGGAGCAGGGTGCAGCCCTATGCAGACTCTCAGAGGGTGACCTGCCTGCTGTTTGAGAGCAGCCCCGCTTGGGAGCTACCACCCCGAAGCATCGTGAGGCACCCAAAGTTGTGGGGCAGGCAGTGACAACACCACTCTGGGCAGGATGCACCTTGCAACGTGACGCCCACCCCTTGGATTTCTAGGATCTCGGCTGCGACCCTTCAGTGCATCTTTGGAGGGCCCGGAAGGGATCCTGGGACAGGCTGGCTGTGTGGTGCTTGTGCTGCCGGGCTGCTGTTCATTTTGGGGAACAGCTTGCAGGGCACAGAAGTGTCTCTGCCTAGTTGCACTTGGAACCAGCACCCCCATGTACAGCCCCCAGTGGCACTGGGACGGGGAGAGGGTGTCCAAGTAGCAGTGATCAGTGACCAGGCCTGTGCTGCTGGAACAGCAGAGAAACCCTGGATGGAACAGAACAGTCTGCAGCTCTCCTGGCCCAGCCAGGCTGCACGGCCACCCGACCAACCTGCGATCCAGCAGCCTCAGGCAAAGGGTTAGCATGACAGAGCCTCTTGCTGCCAGCCATGCAATCTCACCCCCCTGCAAGAGCTGCCCTGCAAGTGCTGCCCTGCCTTGCTGGCATGGCTGGATCACCCACCGGGAGGGGGGGGGGCGGGGCGATGTAGCTGGTAGGGTTGGACTCACCACACCCGGGTTCATAGTAGATGCCGTTGGAGTAAAATAAGAACGACTTGGCGGAGGCGTCGATGTTGACGGGCACGGGGCCATTCTTGAAGACGGCGGCTTTCAGGGCGGTGACATTACCGGCGGGGGGGGCGCGGG